ATGCATCAATTTATTTATATCTACACTATATATAAAAGTGTGAATGCAGTGTGAAACTTTTTTGGACTAAATTTACCCTCTATTTCTTTGTTTGAGAAAGGGTATAAAAGTCATTTTATTATAGCTTTAGTTTCAGGTKTAATGGTTACTATAATGATTATATTTGTGTATTTAATCCATCTCTAATTTAAGGGTTGAAAATCTAACTTCAATTATTATTTTCCATCTCATTTAATCCTCTCTCATTAAGTCTTATACTTAATGTATTAAATCCTATTTTTCTCTTATTAAATCTTATATTTTTAAGTTGTTTTTCACTAATAAATGCTACTAATTAGATCTATGTTAATATTTTTAACAATATAAACCCATATATTTTGAAACTAACTCAAAAACAAAACCATTCTTTATCCAATTGCTAGTTAAGCAATTCAACCTTCAGAGTCAATTTTATCAACCTATAAAATCATAGTTAGGTAATAAAATGTTTAAAATAGAAATAAATATAGAAATTTACAAAAAAAATATAAAAAAATAAGTGTAATAAACAAGAATTGTTTTTATTGATAATGAAAATGAAATATATAATTTAGAATTGACCAAAAATTAATTTAAAAATTAATAATAAATAGTTCAACTTTTGGATTAAATGTGTTAACCTTTAATGTCATAAATAAATAATAAAAAAATAAATTATATAAATACAAAAATGAAAAAAATAAATAAATTTTGCAAAAAAAAAGCATTCAAGCACATCTATAATATCATGTACTTATCATATTAAACAAAAAGTAAGTATGACATATCATAATTATTTTTACACACAAAAATACAAAAAAAAATTATAGAAAAAATTGAACACATTTATAATTCTATATTTACACTACTATTAAAAATATGAATAAGATTGTGGAGCTTTATTTCGACTAAAATTAAGGATTTGAAAACTGGCCCAGAAATAGAACTGTTTGGCTTTCAGTTTCTGGGTCAGTGGTTCAACCAACCAATTTGGGCGGGTCCAATAGGAAAGGTGTAAAATATAATGTAACTTTTTATTAATTTTGACCACTAGATTAGGATTAGATTCAAGTCCACCGCATATGTACATTATTATGAGAAGGGAGTGTGAGACTTTGATAAAGCAAAGAACTGAGAAAAAAGAAAGAGATGATGAATAAGATAGAGAAGGAAGCGTTGCCGGAGGTGGTTGTCACCATGTTCACTTGTTGTTGTTGCAAAACCGTTTTGCCCTGAGGAAAAGAAGAAGAAAGAATCGTTGTTGGCGGATATCTCCAAGTTCATCATCACCGCCACTACAACACTATTTTCCCTCTTCTTACATCTCTATCATCTTTCTAAATATCTCTCAAATCCCAGATCGCTTGCTTCATCTCTCTAAATATAAGATCGATGTTTAATATCTCATCTCTTGCATTGATTTTTCGATTTCTTCAATGGAATTGCAATTTTTTTGTTGTTACAACTTAAAAAGAATCATATAAATAAGAAAATTCAAAATCAAAATGGAAAAACTAAAAGCCCTAACTAATATTGGCCATTGGGAATAATGGTAATGGAACAAGATTATGACATATGAAAGTTTCTTTTTTTTCAATTTTATTTTCTAATTTCTATTTTAAAATAAATAAAAAATTGGAATTAGTTTGAAAGTAACTCGAGAACCGTTAACTAGGTCTAACATTTTACCGGTGAAACTATCCAAGTCAACGGTTCTCTGACCATTTCAACATTTTTTGTAAAATAGCAGTTTAGGGCCAAAATGGAACTAATGACCTGACCGGTTCCCTGGCCAAATGGTTTGATTGTCCGATCTAGTCCGATTTTTTAAACATTGACTAAAATACTCATTTTTTAATTTAGTACCTATTTAATTGTAAGGTTTAAATTGTAAATTGAACTACTATTTTTCACCTCATTCAATTCCCTCTATTTAAATCTTACATTTTTTTATAAATAAACAAAAGAAGAAAGATACATCAAAAAAAGATAAAACACTACAAAAAGAAAAGTCTAGCCAAGCATAACGGCTTCTCAATGATACTTGAAAATTCACAACTCGATCTGATTATCACATATTTAAATGAGGTGTTTATGTAATCACGTTTGGATTTTGCAAAATGCATCTAATTAATAATAAAAAACAAAAATAAAAAATAAATAAAGTTTATAGAAAATTTTGGATATATTATTACTATAATTATCATCAGCTAGAATTGCCACGTGCACACTTACTAGTTACTATTAAAAGTGTGAGTGAGAGTGTGAAACTTTTGTTTGACTAAAATACCCCAATTTTTGAATTTAGTCCCTCTATAACTTGTAACTGTAACAATAGAAATGTAATTTGAATAACCACATTCTCCTAATTCGAATCCTTCTCATTAAATCTATATTTAAGGCATTAACTCCCATTGTCATTCATTGAATCTTACTTTTTACTAGAATACCTCTATTTTTGAATTTGTTCCCCCTCTCTCTCATTTAGGGTATTAATTCTTGTTCCCTCATTTAATCCTATGTTTAAGCTAGTTTTTCACCAATAAATTCTATTAACTAAATCTATATCCAGTACTCTTAACAATATAAAATACGTGCTTTTTAAAATTGACTAAAAAAATGGAACCGTTCTTCCATTCTTGTGGCAAGTAAGCAATTCAACCATCCTGAACAAATGGATCAATCCATGATGTCATAAATGAAATAAAAAACTTTTAAAATAGAAATAAATACAAAAAATAAAACTATAGTAAATTTGGGTACATTTATATTAATCATATCAAAGAAAAATAGGTGTAATAAATAACAATTATTCTTATTGATGTTGTAATGGAATATAACTTTAAAACTAATCTATAGTGGCAAGTCAACAATTCAACCTTTTGAGTCAAATGTCTCATCCCTTGATATCATAGTTAAATAAAAATTAAAAGATAAAGAACATAAAAACATTATATAATAATATAGAAATTTGTAAGAGATACGCCACGACTAGCATTGTATTGTACCAGTTATGCGTATCAGTCTGATGTGCCACCATATCGATGCGTATCACACTGAATCAGCCAATCCCTGAAACCCAAGTCGCCTAGCGTCCAAGAGCATAAGGATCTTAACTATTAAGCCACTTTTTATTTCGTGATAATAAGTGAAATAGATTATCTTTTATTAAAATTAATTCTTACATTTAATCTAAACAATTAATATATTCAATAACTCCAAGTACAAAATTAACAAGAATAATATTCAAAATTATTATTTTATAAACCAATAAAATAAATAATTTATCAAATCCACATATATATAAATGATTTTTAATTTCAATAAATTCATACAGATAAAAATATTATTTATAGAATGATTGTTTTAATACTTAGAATTATTTACGTAGACTTGATAAGTTATAATATTTATTTTATAAATTATTAATTAATATTTTAATTTGCATTAAATAACAATGTATTTATTATTACAAATATAAAATATTGTTTACAAAATATTTGAGAATATAATATAAATTGAATCTATCAAATCCACTAATCTACATTTAAATAAAAATTAATTTTTATTTAAAAATCATAAAAATAAAAATATTAATAATAGAATAGTTATTTTAGTAATTAAAATTTATGGATTTTCATATGATATGCATCTTCAAAATTCTAATAGATTTGATATATTTTAAGTTAAGATTATATATTTTTATAAATTATTAATTGAAATTTTTATTTACATTTTATATAAACATATTTATTGTTTACAAAAATGAAAGTATTATTTACTGAACATTTGTGAATTAATTTTAGTTGATGTTTTTGTTGATGTTAAAAATTGAAAATAGTAAAGTAAAAATAATTGATATAATAATTTAAATATAATGGTTGCATATGTTTTGTGCCTTGGATTTTAATAAAAAATAAAAATAAAAATTGATACATTATCAATAAAATTGTATAGTATCTACGCATCCCGTTACATCAATAGTAATATATTTCTTCAGATATACCATTAAAATATACAATTCATATGTATTTATACATTATTTATTGTTATTTTGACATTAAACTTGAAGTTATTAATATAATTATTGAATTTGTATGTATTTCCTTAGTGTATTCAGGTATTTCCATATTTTTCTTCAGTAACAATGCGTTTTGCAAGTGTTTCCGTATTTAAGTTGTCCAATATGATGCCCAATACTACTTTAATCCTTTTATGAAATATAAATAAGGTACATTATACATTAGCCATCTATTTTGTCCAAAGTTTTGAAATATTATGAAATAATATAAATACAAAAATACTATAGAATACTAAAATAATCGAAAACTTATTGAAAATTTTTCACCCAAAAATCAGAAATTTTAGAAAAAAGAAAATCATCACAGGGTGACAGACCAAGAGTCCAAAATGGCACGTCTATATTTTCAAAATTTAAAACTTGATATTACTTAGAAATACTATTATCAATAAATATTAAGCTTTTCTTACCAAAGAAAATTTTAAAGTTTTCTTATTTTACTATTTGATACTTTTAATCTTTAAACAGAGAGTATGTAATTGCTGCTTAAAGAGTTTCGATCCAGTTTAAGATTCAGCTATCAACCAATCATGTATTTCGAAAGCACTCTTCATTTCTCTATGAACACTTTCCCACAGGATACATATGGATGTTTCAGAATGCCTTTCACTCTTATGTATAAAGAAGTCAAATTGGCACCTTCCAACAAGGGAAGCAGATCGAGTTTAGTTCCTAAGACCAGAGGATGGTCCTAACTCCTCACAAGTCACCCCTCCCCTTCACCTGGTCATCGAAGACCCTCAGCTCGTTAAGGTCTGTCGGTTTCCATTCCTTCTCACCTAGCTATATCTCTACTGCCATCCTTGGTTGATGTTGTCATCTTCAAGTTCCAACCTAGGAAGCTCTGATATGGCAGGTCTTTATGAACTTATCTGAGAAGTTGACGTACTTTGCCCATAATGGCCGCAGATGGGGGAACGCTATCTCAAGCCAAGGCTTTGCTCTGCCATTAAAATGGATAACACCAGCCCTTTCAGCATCTGCGATACTCGTATTTTCCTGGTATCCAAGCCCCAACATGTGCCAGAATGGATCGATAATATGAACGTGGCCATGGAACGCTATTAGACCAGGAGGCAACGTCCCCAGTTGCCAGAGGCTTAGGTCCGATTTCAAGTTCTGCAAGATGAAATAATATATGGATTCAAATGAACAAGAAATTATTAGAAACCCAGAACTGTACAATTGTACAGGTCTGGTGATTTTGGTTGTGATTTGACCCTTCAACAACAACAACAACAAATTACAAAACAAAAATTAATCAATTAAATAATTGTAATGAGATAAGTATTAATCAGAGTAGGTTACCTTCTGAAGCCAATAATGGTAGGTTGCACTTATGTTTGTCTTTCTCCAGGCTTCTAGATCAAAAATGTTCATGCCATAGGCCCAGGCGCATTCATCAGGATCAAAATTCTCTGATATTAATGGGTTAGAGAAGTTCAAATAGCTCTTGAATCGTTTGGACATGACGAAATTATCATCTCCCCTGCAGGTCTCAACTGCTCCATTGACATTGCCTTCCATGTCGATATCCCAGAGAGGTGAAAGATCAGTTTGGACCACGATATCGTCGTCTAGGAAGACTACCTTATTAAGACTCGGAAAAAGCTGCAAGATTATAATAAAGAAATTAATAATTCGTAACCAAAAATCGTAACCAAAACCACCATCTTCACACGCATCCGTACTTTTAATTATATACCTCTGGTAAATGTATGCGTATGTGATTCATTACTGAATTATATTTGGGACTAAGTGCTTGCAGCTTCGACGCAATGACGTAAGGCTTCTCGGTGTTAGTCGCGACAATTGCCGATGATCCTCCCCTGAACTGTGACCGGACCTTTTGATCCTTCTCCATCGCCTCTAGCACGGGAACCTTCCCCTTAGTAAGCCAATCGAAATGGTGCAGACCTTTAACCTCAATGATGGCAGGCGTTAAAGGGTGCAGAGAGAACCACGCCTGCATGCTGGAATAGGTCTTTCTGTCGGTGATGATGTGAAGGACAACCTTCTCGGGCCTCAACGAGTTGCGGATGAGGGATGATGCCACGACGGAGGCTGCCAGGACGTTGTCGGAGGCAAGGACGAAGTGGAAGAAGGAGTTGTCGACGAGGAAAGGTACGCACTCCGGCGCAGGGAGCTGGAGTCGTGCACCGGCGTTGGTGGAGTGCTCGTTAGCCAGCTTTAGAGCAAGGCAGTGTAGCTGCTTCGGTATGCTACTGGATGCGATGTGGCGGTACAAGTATTCTTGGATTTTAGCTGCTCGGGTCCTTTGTTCCATAACAGACACCTGCCACATCACATCAATATCAAAATCAAATAGTACTTCAGTTCTGTTTGAAGGTTACGTTTACATACATGAAGTACGTAGTCCAACCATAGCTCCACCAATATTTATATCATATTAATTTCATGATGGATGATGGATCCTACGGCTACGTGAAGTTAGTGGGGTAAGGTACCTTTTTTTATTTACGTCGTCAGATTGGAATCTACACGTACATCACACCCCACATAGGGCCGGGCTGGTCGGTTGGTAGAACTGGGTTTAATTCGGTTAATGTGGCATGATCTATCCGGTGGAATGTCCAAACAAGTCATTAGATTATCTACTTTCCGAATCATGAAAATCAGTTTAATTGATTTCGCTTGCTACAAATTCTCCTGTTGCTGTGGGAATTTAACAAGAATATAATGAGAATAGTTTAGGAATAAGTTGTTGGGCTGATTTTACGACTTTGGGAAGTAGAGAAATGAAGGAGTTCAAGGAACATGGTGGCATTGTGTTTGTTTGGCATAATGGGCAACCCAACACCCTCCCGATTCAACGTTTTCTGCCTAACATGTTCGTTCATGTGTCCTTTTAAAGTGTGCAGTTTTTTTTTTTAATAAAAAAATTATTGCAACTAGGATAGGACAGGTATTAAATTATTAATTGACTAAAGTGACGAGGTGAAGAGGTTGATGATGAGATCCTTGAAGATGTTTTCGTTCTCTCACACGCCCCCCNCCCCCTCAAAGTCTATTGGGCTTCAAGTATAAATAAGCAACAGGCCCATTCATACCAAGAGCTGAAATTTAATTAATTATTTATAATATGGTGACAAGGATAAAATTTAGTCAAATAGACTTTGATACCATGTCAAGAAACTATTAAGCTGTTAGTTGAGGTCCCTAGATAATGGACTGGTTCGCTGAACTCTGTGTAGTGGGGCTGTGGAACCAATGATAATGCTCCACATTCCACACCAGTGAAAGAAGCGAAAGTTAATATACGAGAAAGACATAATACTGGAAGAGATTTGATCAAGTTTTGATGTATACCAATTCAAATGAGTTGGCATGACATTATTGGGCCAATAGAGGGTCATCTCCTCATTGGCCTGAAGAAGAATTGGAGCCAAGGTTTAGATAGATGAGTTCTCACCATAGACTTGAGCCTCAAAGTGAAGGTCCTCAAGTCAGATTTGTTGCTCTTCATTTCTGCAATGAATTCCTCCAACGACTGTGGAACCTCTGATGCTTCTTGTGTATCTTCTGGGTCCTGGTTTTCTTCTAAGACTCGATAAATCTCTTCAGGCACATTCTGTAACAACCATTAATTAAGAATTTCTATTCAGCTAGGCTACCTGTATCAATAATATTGTTCTGGACAAAGAAGAAATTTGAATTCAAAATTCAGGGTTTCGAGATCACCATTGATTCTGGCCTTCTTCCCCAAATTCTTGGTCCTAGTCTCTTCCCCACGCATCCTACCACCAGTGCACCAAAGATTACAATTGTAGAATTTGATCATAACAATACAAAGCCTTTCACATCCAAACAATAAAGCCAATGTTGATGACATCATAAACATACACTGGTTGCAAGCTATGATTAACAAAATGGCAGAGTGACTTGATTGCTTTTTTCGCTTTATGGAATCTCATCTTAGAAATCCCATTAGATGGTTTCATTTAACTTCATCTGATGTACTATATAACTACTGTATTATGTTTGTGGCAGACCACCCACCATCCTAAAGATTCTTCTATTAAATCCAGGTTATAGAACTATTTTACTTCTATTGATAAATCAGTATTTGTAAATGAATAATCATAGAAATTTATACAAGCACTCAACCTATAGCAGCTTCCCCAAGACAGAACAGACATGAAGTTAGGAGTCTTACATATAATAACCAGTTATAGAACTATATACTTCAATCTCTGTACCTTAACCTTTAGTTTGAACTACTTGCCATGGAATTATTTTTTTATCAACACTAAACGTTTCTCTAATAAATATTTTAGATTCCACATTATCCCTTTCCTACAGACATGTTGGAAACTTAACAGTAGCATTAAATCTATTTGGAATTCAAATAAATATTTTTCATATTCTCATCCCTGCTAGGAAAAATACAGCAAGACACACACACACAGATAGATAGAGAGAGAGAGAGAGAGAGAAAGATGAACAAAGTAGGATGATGTGTACCTATAGTAGAACACTTGTTTTCTCCGTCTATGGTATCCATGGCCGTCAATACGAATACAAACCGGAGAAGAAAAGTCATGAACAAAAGCGAGTAGAAAACCATTCGGTAGGAAACTCTTCTGGTTCCAACCTTCACCTTGATAAAATCCCTCACCCCTTTACCAGGAAGCACCGTTACATGCCGCAAGCTTGGCGATATCTGAAGTTGCATTTTGACAGAAAGAAATGAAACAACAGAAACAGAACACAACTTCGGGTGTAACCCACCTTGGGTTCCTCTTCTTTCTCTCTATCTATCTCTCTGGCTACCTCATTTGAAAGTATTCGAAGAAGAACCCAAATGAATCACAGCACAAACTCACCTCCAGATGATACTGTAAAAGGAAGGCTGCAGAAGGGGAGCTGGTGTTAAGGTTGCTATCCTTCACCTAACCTTGCTTGACACTTAGGTTATAATCTTTGAGGTTAATGGGGATCATTTTTTTTTTCCAGTCCAAGAAGGGTAGTTCGAGAGAAAGTGACCTGGGACGAGAAGAAAACTAAACTTTTGCCTTGCTTCTGAAGCAGAGGGTTTATGATATTAAGAGCAAAAAGAATGGACGAATGAGCGTTGCTTGGTATTGGTTTGCTTTACCTCCAACTGAAGTTTGGAAAACAAAAAAAAAAAAGAGTTGGTGTTTGTTTGCAGCTTTGAATTTGATGGAACAGCGTTTCTAAATGGAAAACGACCCCTTTTTCTCAAGTCTGAACAACAACAACAACGAGGGCTTTTGCTTTAAATATCGTGGGAGGTTGAGTTGCGGGCTCAGGGGTTGTTCGGTTGAAGAGTAAAATTACGGGAACTCTGCTAACGAATGTACGACAACGACGGGGTTGGGTCGGTTGACCATGTCGCTTCTACTTCGGCTTGGCAACTGCATTTCCATATGATCGATCCGCCAAGTGTTTTTCCCGATTCTGATTAGGGTTGGGCTTGGGCTACAGCCTACAGCCACACCCACCGGAATCGATCCCCCAAGGCCCCAGGGAACGCGTCGAACTCGAATCGGGTAAATTTAAATTAAATTTCAAAGAATAACAACGTGATATTTGTGTTTCATTTCAACCCAAAACGATAAAGATTGAAAAGAACTAAAGACGAACCCAAGACCTGAGTGAATATAACTTAATCAGGATACTGATTTTAAGGGACCGATGGACGGATCGCATCCTATGTTTGGTGACAGCACGGGACTCTAGTGGTCAAGTGGTGAATGAGATGGGTCTCAAGTCTCAACGAAAATTTTCTCTCCTACAACTACAATAATGGATGGATGCTTGCGTCCCTCACAACGAATTCTGATAACCTACAAACAAATGTGTGTTTTACATGCTATGTAACCAATCAAGAATCAACACACTAGTGTTCCGTATTCTCTCTTGATTAACTCGGTAGTCCTTTTTTTCTTGGTAATAGATTAATTCGGTAGTCTACTGCATATGCCCATGATACATATCCTTTTTCCCGCAAATGGGTCAGTTTTACCCGAAACAACCTTTGAACCAGCGGTTCCAATCAGTTCTTAGATTGGATCCGATTCCAAATTCTTCAAACCAATCTCTACCAGACCGGATTCAGGTCAGGGTCTTCGGGTTTCTCTTACCTGAACCGACTCAGAGAACTAGCTTTGATTGGCCTTGGTGGAATACGTCTAAAACATTTAACTAAATTCTGGTATGTGTGAAGTTAAATTATGGATTAATAATAATTAATTATATGTTATTATTTAGGTTGTTTACGGATTATATATTTTTTTTTTCTTAGAGATTGAATGGGTATATGGATTTGAAATGTGAAATGTTTATTATAGATTGTTGCTAGCGGGGGCCTATGCAATGTATAGGATTTATTAAGTGAAAGCTAAACAATAGAAGCACATATAAGTATATAATTGTTTTATAGTTTTAATTTTTAAATAATTAATCATTATTTATATTTTGGGATCGATAACCATATGGGAAAGATATGATATCTGAAAATTTTATGACCAATCAATTGGTATCATAAATGTGGTAGCCAATCAGGTGTTATTTATCAAAAGTCATAGGAGGATTTTGATTGATCAAAACTCTTATAATACCATATTTTTCCCGCATCATAGATTTTCCCTTATATTTTATATACTACTTTTAATAATTTTTTTACAATACAAAATAATAATAATTAATTTCAGCTAGGATTGTTCATCAAACTGATGAAACTGACCAACCTGACCAACTTGAACCAAGTTGGTCTGTTTTCTATTATTTTCCGATTAGCTTTGGTTCAACAATTTCCCAACTTGACCATATATATATATATATATATATATATATATATATTATTTTTAATACAAAAAGTTGAAAAGTCTCATATTTCTTAGTCTAAAATATTTTATATCATAATGCCACTATAATTTTTAAACTTAAATTTAATTTTTTAAGTTTAACTCTTTTTAACTGACCAACCAAATTGGAAAAATGACCTAAACTAATACAACCCAAGTTGTTTGGTTTTTCACTAATGGTCAATTAGCTTCAAGTGACTAACTCTCCAACCTGACCGGGTTGATTTGGTTGGTCAAATAGCCTACAACCAAACAGAACCAACCCATGAACACTCCTAATTTCAACTAAATTAATAGTTTAATATGTCTATAATAAATAATAATAGTTTAATCTCCAATAATTATTGAAAATTTATTGTGAAAAATATATTGATAAGGAAAATATAATAAAAATACAATAATTACAAAGATACAATAAATACTAAAAAATATATTAAATTAGTTAGTAAATAGTGTAATATCAAATAATAGTACAATTTCTAATAAATATTAATTAATAAATTAAAACAAAAATACAAACAATACAATAAGAACAAAAAACAATAAATAATTAATTAAAATACAACAAATATTAATGTTAGTATATATTAATATATAATAAATATAGATTATGATTTAAAATTATTATTAATAAATATTAATTATTTTGAAAGTTATTTTTTATAATTTTTAATTAATATAAGTGAAATTAGTTATTTACAATATTATTTAGTTATTTAAATAAAATCATTATTTAAATTTGAAAACATTAATTATTTATTGAATTTAATAATCCATAAAATTATAATTGATACTATTATTACATAATTTCGTTATTAGTTTTGTAAAATATTAAATTATTATTAATTTGAATATTATGTTATAATTGCTTTTCTAGTTTTAAGAAAAAATTCAAATTTATTACATATTTTCATTATTTTAACTGTTTAAAATCTAGTTATGTTAAATTTCATTAGTTAAAATGTTTAGTTATTTAAATATTTAAATAATATATAAAATATATAAAAATTTTCGTTATTCAAAGTTTATTTCTATTAAAGTTGTTACATAATATTAAATATTTTGTAATATAATCATTTAGCTATTTTAATATTTTGTTATTTAAGATATTTAGTTCCTGAAATATTTAAATAATATTTTATTTTTTAATGTTGAGTTTTTATTATTTGAATAACATTTAAATTGAATAATCCAAAAAACCCTAATTTATATTGTTAGTACATAATTTCGTAATGTATTTGTGAAAATGTAAAATTATTAATAATATGAATATTATTAAATCAATTATAATTATTTTTTTGGGTTTTTAATAAATATTTTAAAGTTATCTTATTGGTTGTTTAAAAAATGACATGGAATAAAACAATCAAAAAAAGGAGAAAAAAATGAGAAAATTCTAGACTATTGCGTTTTAGTATATATACAAACCCAAGATCAATGCTTGGAAAGGAAAAAAAAAAACAGAGTTTTATTATTATTTTTTTAAATAATAGGTTCCATGATTAGACCTTTGAAGTTGGAATGGCTAAACCAACCAACCGATCTTAATAGGATAAGTTATAGCTTCAAAACATAGAATCAACCCCTACAAGGTAAGTTCTAGGTTTTGCCTTGCAACTGAACCAAACTGACCCATGCTCACCACTATTTCAAGCTTGGATTCGGTCCTCACAAAATTGTCCTCACATTGTCTTCACCACCTTTTTTCCATTCATGCATTGGGAATATCTCCCTAATTGTATGTTTTTATTCAAGAGGAGATATTCCCAACGCACAATATAGTAGGCAGCTGACAAGGAACTAAAATAAGTCTTCATGAGTATATATGCTTAATATATTGCACAATCTTATGCATAGGAATGTTAGACTATCTATTTACATCTATACTGTATAGGCTCAGTTTGGAAGAAAGAGTACAAATGCAAATAAGTACAACGTAAATACATACAAAATAATACAAAATATAAAGTTTTGCACTCTACATATTTGCATTTGTACTCCTTCCAAACTCAATCTAAAAGTGTGAATGCAATGTGAAACATTTTTTGGACTAAAATTACTCTCTACATTTTTGTTTGAGAAAGGGTATAAAAACCTTTTTATTACATCTTCAGTGTTGGCTTTAGCAGCTACTAAAATGTCCATAATTGTGTTTTTAGTCCATCTTTAATGGTAAGTTTGAAAATGTAACTATAATTATTACTTCTCACCTCATTTTATCCCCTCTCATTAAATCTTATACTAAAATTATTAATTCTCATTTTCTCTTATTAAATTAGATCTCTATCAATATTTTTAACATTATAAACCCATATATTTTAAAACTGACTCATAAACAAAAACCATATTTAATCTAAGTGGTGACTAAGCAATTCAACCATCCAAATCAAATTGATCAACCTACGAAATCATAGTTAGGTCATAAAATTTTTAAAATAAAAATAAATATAGAAACTTACAAGAAATATAGAAAAACTTAAACACATTTATTATATTTTTATTAATCAAATTAAAAAATAAGTATAATAAACAATAATTATTTTTATTGGTAATGAAAATGAAATAGTTTAAATCTTTCCTACCATGAGTGTCCATTAACAAAGGATTAAAAAGACTAATTTGCCCATCTCACTCTCTCTCCCTCCCCCTATCTCTCTTCCCTTGGTTAGAAATGGAACCACCGGCTTCAGATATATTTATCAATGATACTTACCCTTCTCTATCGACTAGAGAAATTCACTGATGAGAACCCAGACATCGGCGTCCACCGTGAGCTCAGACTCGACCTCTCGTTCTCCCGCTCCAACTCCCAACCCACCACAACCTCATACGAACTATGGAAAGATCAGCGATCTAGAGAAGTTCTTGGGTTTAGTGACGACTAGACCCGTTCATGGGCCGGGCCGGGCTTTGACTCTTTATTAACAGAAAACTGTTAGGCTCGAGCCCGAGCCCGGCCCGAACAACAGGCCTACAACTTGGGCCCGAGCCCGGCCCTGATAAAAAGCCCGAAGCCCGAGCCCGAGCCCGAAGCCCGACCTAATAAAAGAAATTCAAAATTTTCTGACATTTTCTATTTTAATTTAAATGTTTTTTCCCCTATTTAAATGAACAATGGGTCTACAAGTGAATCAATGACCTCAAATCAAAAAATTTATTCAAATAGACATTACATAGGGTTTTTACTTAGGTTTAACTATAGGTCGGACCGGGTTTACTTAAGTTTAACTATAAGTCGGGCCGGGCCAGGCTATTTTGGCAAAGCCCGAACCCGACTCGAATT